TAACCAAATCGAGAATTTTCTGCAGTTGTCAACTTCTTCGAATCCACTTACATTGATAAGAAGAAGCTAGAAATTTGGATATCTTAATTGTAATTAGCCCGAAGTGATGACAAATTCAGATATTAAATTTACATTTATTTTAAAGCTAGTTGACATCTTCATTTTCTACGCTGTTATTAAAATAAAACAAAATGAGGCCTTTTTTTCAGAAGGAGATCAGATCTTTACAGTAATTCCATCATTTGAAACAAAAATAAATGTCATGTCCGATTTCCAAGAAATTCAAAAAATTTAAGACAAACTCAATTTGATGATTGAAGTTTCATCTTAGGTCACTGATTCATAAATGCAAACCAAAGCTCAAAAATACTTAAAAACTCATAGCAATGTTCTACTTAAAATAATTTCTGAATCCAGTTGTGAAGCATTTTCTTCTTGTTAATCTACTTAAGATGTTTTATTTTTCCTTCATTAACCATTCAAAATCTCGTTTTTATGTTTCCATAAGAAAGAAAGAAATGATTTAATTAAGTTGTGTGTTCAGTCTTAAAATAATTGCAATTAAACTCACCTCACTTCTTATTACATACCTCAAAAAAAAAAAAACAGAATAATGATACGTGTATGGAATATTTTACAGCAAACATTTCAACCCAAACAACAGCAACAAAACAAAATTTATAAACTTTTGTAATTGAAGAATGATTTCATTCGTGCCATGCTCACAAGTGTGCTTTGAATTAGATATTCATGACCAAAAATATTGCATACACATTTGGAAGGTCAAGAGCAGGTGAAATTTGTATTCCTTTTAGAGACGTGCTTGGGATCTTTCTGTTGCTTCTCGATTTAAATCAAGAGTAATGATGCGAAAGTTTTCATCAGATATCCAAAAGGAAGTTAAACAACTTCATGTTGAGAGCTTTTGATAGAGAGGGGATCAATTTTATGGTCATGAAGTCTGATGAAGTCAATGCTACTCAAACAATGCTGAACGATACGTATTGTGTAAGGTGGCTATAGAAATTGAAAACAACCAGCATGTAGATCAGATTTATTCGTTTTCTGCATGAACTAGGATAACATAAACTCAGAAGGTGAAGTTTTCTAAGATTTTGTAAGAACTAATTTATTCAACTAATCGATTCAAAATCAACTTAGTGGATGTGGTGTCTTAGCAAAGTGGAATCTGGAGTAACAAGAAATATGTATCCAATTTTGCCAATGCTAGGGTAAGAAAATTGTAGCCGAGTGGCTTGGCAACAGACTGCATATATGTGTCCTCTTTTGTGAGGATGTGGGTTCGATTCCCATCAGAGACCGATTCCTCAAACTTTTACAAAGAGTATTGACGATACGACAATTATTTACACAATGCTCACGACAGTCCAGTGAGCAACTTCGATATCTGTACAGATTATTTGTAATCTAAAACTTTCATTGGATGTCGTTTATAACTGACTCTATCTCAATCAATTATCTATCTGCCTAGTTTAAATTAAAAGTGCATTATTGTTAATCTATTCTAAGTTCTTTGACTGCTCACAAAATTTTAAAGAATTAGATTTAAAAATAGAAATGAACAGCAGTTGATCCCAAGACTACAACGTCTTGTACTTATCACTAATCTCAATAAATTTCTAAAGAAATACAGCCAAAAAGATGCCATGGTGACCGAGATTTTCGAATCTTAATATAAACCTTAGGCACTAAGGCTATGAATTATCTCTTACTCTACTTCACAATTTTTTCGGATAGTAACAATTTAAAGGAATTCATATTTAAGATGGATAGACGAACAAAATTTCTCTATAATAATAACCTTCACGTCTGAAAGTAATTCATTAGAAGGCAGCCTAAATGATATGAAATGTAATAATTTTTAAAAATGTATGTAAATCCATTGATTGATTGATATCAATAATTCATGAAATCTTGACGATCGAAAAATCTGGAACATGATTCGACAACAATGGCAGACATGAAAAGTCTCCACATCATCAAAAAAAAAGTAACTTTCTTATGATGAAACTGAAATGATAAAATAAAATATGACCACAATTTATGCGAAACGGAAAGCAAGTTGATATGACAAATGTCCATAGCCGTTCAAAGTTGATTTAATTTCTTCAAAAAAAAGCGCACGTAAACCTGAAACAAAAATAAAAGATGGAGGAGGTTGAAGAATAAAAAAATAAAAGAAATGTGCATTCACATTGTGGAATTTATTGTGGCTAACAAGTCTTTCTCATTTATGTCTCAATCTCACAGATCACGTAGTATCAAGTGTATGTACGCATAATATCCAAAACCAAATGAAAAATGGGAAATGAGAAAATAATAAAATTTGTCATTGTCAACTTAATGCACATAAATACGTACGTTGTGTACATTTAATCGCCGTAGAAAGTGCATTTTTTTTACCTTTTTAAGTTACTCATATTACATGGCATCATTGCAAATAGCTAGTAAGAGATTACATCGATGCATTTTGCTGTGTTGTTTTTTTCAGCTAAGGTGCATTATCATGCCGATGCCTTTTTTTGCTTTCATTATTATTATTATACTCTCTGTCTTCTTCTCCATCTACATGCTTGTTGTTGTTTTTTTTTTCTTAAGTTCAAGATTGCATTACAAGATGCAATGAGCAGGCAGTTCGATACACTTTAAGTAGTGCTTGCACGAAACGGAGGAGTACAAATGTATGTGTGAAAATCGAAAGTCTTTTGCATTTCGCATTTAATGTACCGCATTCCCATGCAATTTTTTTGTGTTTTCGCGATGCACTGAGACAATCTCTGTATAATTAACTCTCATTCATTTGTTTTGCTTCTTTTAACATGCCATGACATGTCGTGTCATGCATTTAAAAACACAAATTTCCATATGGAAATGAAAGAAAACGGTTTAAAAATTCGAAAATAGAATTAGAAATGGCTAAGCTTGACTGCGATAATTGTAACATCATCATCATCATTATGATGTGTTATTTCCTCCAAATAATCTATCAACAAATAATAACCTATTGGATGTAATGATGAGTAAAATTGCAAAAAAATTGATTGTAGACATGATAGAGAAAAATTAGAAAATTGCCAATTCACTTTTCGCCTCATTCATGTGCAGAGATGTATAATTTTTTACAATGACTTTACAGTCACAATCCGTCACTTTGTCTGAATATGCGTAAGCTTCACATTTTATGAATGACATTATGTCTTACAAATTGTTAAATTACATTTAAGAGACCGGAAAATTTTTGATTTTTACACTCGTTTTACATGAAATTGTTGTAAATCCGTGATATGAGCAGGGAACATTTAGAGACGTGATTGATTATGAGCATCTCACTTGTTAACATGACAACCGGAAGTGAGTGGTCTACTGCGTTTGAATGATCAGTCATTTAGAATTTTTATGAATTAAATGATGTTTCGGAAATGTTGGATTTGGAGGAAATGGGAAAATATCGACACTTTATTTATTTTGAATTATTATTTCGGTTTCATGGAAGTCAGACATCTTAGTAAAATTGTTCCTCGATTGAAACTCAATTTTAATGATGACCATGCTGCAACCATTAAATGATTATGTAGTTATTACCTTAAAATAAAGAATCAGTTCACGGTTGCCCGATTTCACTTTTTTTCGACCATCGATTTCTTAAATTGAACTAATGTCCCTGATATGCCTAAAAAACAGCATAAATCCTGCGTTGAGCTAGCATAGGTTCGGATTGGTGCTTTATTGGTGGATTTGATGCAAACTTAATGGCAAAGCATTCATACAGTTTATGAATCTAGCGCCAATTGCACGATGATGAATATCAATTGCTGGAGGACCTTATAATCTTAATTTGACGACAAATAGCATCAATCCGACCACATACAAACTTAGAGCCAGTTAAATAGCTTTCTTTATGCAAAAACACCATTCTAAGCTAAATGTTTCTTCAAAATTTCTCTATTTATTGCACCCAACATAGCTAAACATTTATTTAACATCCAGTTAAACGCTTTCCATGCGCCTCATCCACAAATCCTTTTACATTGTCAGCAAAACTTTCTGAAACAAGTAAATACTTTTACCCGTAAATTTTTCTCTTCTTATTTTACACTTTTTCTTAATTTCGATTTTTTGATCTTGAAAAACCTCAACTTGATACTGACATTTAAGTCTTGTCTTGTTTCTCTTTCCCTATCATCTACTTACAACTTTTTTTTTATTCATGAACTTGCTATTAGCTATGATTTTCTACATTGAATTAATTTCGGGCAGTAGATAAACCTGATATGCCTTTTTTTGCCCACTTGCCTCTTTTTTTGACAGCACCTCTCAATCGTTTGTCTTTATATGATACACTTTTGAAAATTATTATTATTTTTTGATATATTGCGGCTATCAAGCGGATTATGACTGTATGTATGTATGGCAACTAGCTTTACGAACAATTGGAGGAGAAGAAAAAGCAAAGAGAATTTTTAAAGACTGATTCTTTTTCTTATTATTTTTATTTTCATTACTCATTCATAGTTTTTTTTTTATTACAATTACTGCTATATTTGAAAACAGCCAGTACTTACTAAGCTGATGATTTTTTTATTGAAAAACCGCGAAAGATTGCGCGCATGAGATTCGTCTTTCCATTGCATATGTAAAGGTAGGAAAGAAGATTTTTCGTTTTTCAAGAAGAAAAATATGTACATATCTACAAACACAGTCACGAGTATTTTTGTTTTTGTGTATTTCAATGGGTAAAGCAGCGAAAAAAGAATGAATTTCCAGCACACACCGTAAGTATTAAAGCATATTGAAAGAAATTGGACTTAAAAATACAATTTTTTTTATATTACTTTAAAAAAATATTATTATTCGGAGAGAATGTTGGAGGAAGGGGAAATTTGAAGTAATAGCTACATTTCTCCAGACATATCAGCGACCGTATATATATAAATTGTTTGAACACTCTGCAAATCATAACATATTCATCCTTGAACTTGTGAAGAGACGCGGAAGAAAAGTGCATAAAGTGAAAAAAGCAAAATATTAAATTTTGAGTGCTTGATTGACAAAATATCTCAACAAAAAAATAATCAAAGATTTAAAATTATAAAATTTTAAAAGTTTTAAAAAATTAGAAAAAAAAAATAATTTAAAAATGAATCACAAAATTGTTGGATTATTGTGCTTATTGGTGACAGTCTCAGCTCTCCCTGCTGAGGAGACACGCGGACATACACGAAATGCTGTCGGTTCAGATAACGATTTAATGGATTCAATTTACACTGACTGTCTTAGAAAGGATTCAGTATCATGTGTCAAATATAAGTTCTTGTCATTTGTGGATAAAATGGTCGATGCTCGTGATCAATTCTCATTGAGTGAAGGCGTTACAGTTGTCAAAGTTCCCGGATCAGAAGGTGCACCACGATCACTCAACAGTGACGAGTCAATTGAATCATTGATCCTCAATCGCGTATCAGGCTTCCTCCAGACACACACAATCAAAGTTGAACTTAAGGGAACTGATATCGTTAGTGCTGTCTCATCAACTGGACGTGCCCTCGAAGATGTCTCAGAAAGTGTATTCGGTGATGAAGAAGGCAAATCTGAATCACGTGGCAAGAAGAAGAAGGCAGCTAAATTGTTGGGACCACTCCTCATGCTCGTCGCATTGAAAGGTGCAGCTCTTCTTCCACTCATCCTCGGCGCTATTGCATTGATTGCTGGCAAAGCTCTTCTCATCGGTAAAATTGCTTTGGTCCTCTCAGCCGTTATTGGACTTAAAAAGCTTCTCTCACAAGAAAAACACGTCACATATGAGGTAGTCGCACACCCACATCACACATCAAGTCACTCAACAAGTCATGGAGACTCATTCTCAAGTGGATTCGCAGCAGCTGATTCCTCAAGCTACGCTGGTGCTGGTGCATCAAGTGGACATGGATGGGGACGAGCATACGATGCCCAAGATTTGGCCTACAAATCACAAAAACCTTAAATTGATTACCAATTTGCTCTCTAATCGTTACCAATAATATTTAAGAAGACGAAGATTATTCGACATAGTAATTCCATATTGGAAGGAACTGACTCTCTGCTCACGATCGATGGTCTAAATGGATTTCCCAAACGAAAAAAAAATGTATCCTCACGAAATGGAGAGGATTACAAGTTAATCTACAATTGTGTTAAATCAAAAATTTTATTTATTTTAAACTTATTTATTTTTTGTTAATTTATTATTTTTTGAATCTCTCAGAGACAAAAGAAAAAACACAACGACGACAATTGCATGCAACTAATCATCCCAATTATATTGTTAAAAATCGCGAGACACTGAAAGGACTAGGAGAAGCGCCTATCAACCATAATCATAATTTTTCACTATTTTAACAATAGACTCAAGCCTCAATAGCACTTTTAAGAAAGGGTAAAACTCTGCTTCTTTTAACATTTCCCAAAATTTCTAAAGATTTTTCCTTTCTAAACTTCTGTTACACGATTACATTCACTTTGCATACACTCACTTTCCCTTTAGAGACAATAATCATGAACAAGTACTTTAAAGTAAAAATTTTTCTCAATACTGTTGAGTCCGCAATATTCTCTCTATCTCTCCATCTCACTTACTTTCTTTGCTTTCCAATTACTTCATGACTCTTTACTTCTTTTTTCTCGTATTCAATTTTTCCCATTCTTTTCTTTAATCTTTAACTTTTTTCGTACAAAAGAAAACTGTGAAATTTTTCCACATCTTTACTGACTATAGAATTACTACACACAATAGAATAAGCAGCCTAGCAATGTGTGAGAATTAATTTAAAAAAAAGCTTATTGTAGTTCTGTTCATAACAATCTCTCTATATCTATAACATATGCTGTCTATAACTCTTATTTCATATTACTTTATTATTATACTAATTTAATTTCTTCTCATTCATTTAAGAAATTACGCTTTTAATCTGTTGTTGTTAATTTCTTGCTCTTCTTACAATCTATTTTCTTTACATTTCTTTTTAAATGTTAAACGATTTTTAATAAAAAAAAATAATATAATTGAGAAAAGATGAATTAAAAAAAATCATGAGTTTTTTTAATAATTTTGGATAATTATCAAATTAAAGCCATTATTAAAATTTCAGGGCATCAACACACATTCCAGATTCGCCCATAAGCAATAATTATAACTGATTTCGCTTCTTAAGTTTCACATTCGGTCAGGTAGAGAGAGACATCAATTACACACGTGTGGTGCGTTTAAATACGATTACCGGAGGAGCTAATAATTAGGTTACGAGATCACTGGACTTCAAAAATTTAATAATAATGAAGAGAAAAGAAAGAAAAGTATGAAATTACATGTTAAATTGTCTTAGTCCAGTCGAATGCGTTACACATGTTTTACATTTCCACTTTCTTCACTTCATATCATCAATTTAATGAATGTACGAAAAAGAAAAGAAATTAATGAAAAATAAAAATTCCACTGCGTTAAATTTATGAGGGCCAACATATTAAACTCATTGTATAAAGTCATAAGAAGTGAAAGAGGAATCAAGATCAAAAAAGGCATTCAAGTGAAACAATTTTTTTTTTTCACTTTTTAAACTCTGTGTTGATTATTTCCTCGGAATGAATGAAAGTCGCTACCTCATCATGACTGTGATCATCTCCTGATGGACAGCATAATAATAAACATTTCACAAATCATTCCAGCTTATTTGCTAATTCACCTTTAGTAATTTATTGAATGGAAATGGTAAAGAAGATGATGAAGCTAAGAGATCAATTTATTTTGATTGGGCTTTGTATTTTGGATACAAACTACTGAAATTAGAATTTATTGTATTTATTTATGGATTGTGAAAGTGGCTTGGATATATTGACCAGTGTTGAGATTTGTTCAAGATATATTAAAATTTAATTTGCATATTAGTGGCAATGATTGAATTTTACCATTAAAATTGTGGTTTTAAGATATTGTAAACCTTTGCGGTTGAGTGTTATTAATATTGATGTTGGCTATCGATATAAATGCCCATAATTCACATTTACGAGACATAAATATTATATACCTGTCGCTGGTAACATAAAACAACCGCGAACGGCACAGGTTGAAATGAAATTTACAAAGAGTCTAAGAAGACAGCCACTTGCAACTTGGCTTAGATATATTGTCCATTTGAGTATTATATACTTGTATTAAGTAATGGTTACAGCTACAGATACATTGAATCAAGATCACATTTAATTGTAATGTCACAATTGATCTGTTAAACCGTCAAAGTACTTACTATCTTACTTCCTGACTTAATGGACTGCCTTTTTACTGTTTGACTACAATTGGATAGCTAATATTTCGGTAATCTAGCAACATCCGTATGTTTGTCATAATCAGAATGCATTAAGAAGATGTGAAGGAAGATTCAGTCTCAGAACGACAAATATTAATAAATCGTCCTAAATTTTTCAACTTTTATCTGATTCCTTCTAAGAAATCTTCTATAATTGATAAGCTTTTCAAATTCCATTGACATGCCACATTTATTTCCAATTTGAAACTACCAAGAAGGTATCGTCAAAACTTATTTTTTAATCCTAAATCGAACTATTGAATTATTCAATAAAATGGGATATAAATTTGTGCATGGATGATCGAAGCTAAAGTTATAAAAATATTTTGGGTACCTCTAACTTTTCTCATCAATCAATCATGCATGATCCTTAGAATAAGTTTCACTAAAAGCAAAAACCCAAAAACCTTTATAAAGAAATTGAAAAAGTTAAGTTCCATTTTGAAATATTACCCAATAAATAAGTCATGTTGCTATACAAAACTTTTCAGTCATAATTCATTTGATGTATGCTTAACGCATGTGTTCAATTCATGTGCTGATTGTAAAACGGTCAAAGTTAATGACTTTACGGTCGAACGAGATGATATATTCTAAAATTCTGTTAAAATCCTAATTAGTCAATACCGCTATAAGCCATTTGACTTAACTAGCATTGCGAAAAAATTAAAAAGAAAAAAGTGTTGATAATTATCATTTTATGATCTTTACTGTTTTGAAGTATGTTAACTCATGATTGGTCTTTGACTCTAGAATTATTCATGCCTAAAAACTACAGTTGAAAGTGATATTTTGAGCTATGTTTCAGCAAGAATAACGTTATCGACAAAAGCAGAAGCAACAGATTTTTGGTAACTAAATCGCAGACGATACTCGGAGTCAACTTAATTAGTACTAATCGAGTCGTATCAAGTCCAGTAAACTCTAAAAAATCAATAAAACTTAGTATAATTAAATTCGATCGAAATTTTAAGCAAGTTGATTAGGATCGACTTAGCCCGACTTGAAACTCTAAAGATCTCATAAATTCATTACATTCGAGCATGTAGCCACAAAAAAATACTTTTAAAAATCTGCAACTCTGCAAAAAAGAAATGCAAACCAGCACTTACTCAAAGCTCATCACATAAATACACAATTCATTTCACAAAGTAACGGTAAAGCTTCTCTGAATATTATTCAAAGCATTGCTGACATAAAAATTCAAATCACGAATTTCCGTTAAAGCTTAATACCTTTAATTAAAGCAATTTGACTTGACATCATTCAATTCTGATTATCGATAATTTTGTTTTGTGTGATTTCTTATTTTTCTTGATGAATATCATTTGGCCTCACATCAATCATAACGATTTACTTTCGATTTCATAAAGACTTTTAAATCCCATCCGAAAAAAAAATATTAATGACGATGGAATAAGAAATGGAAGAAAAGAGTACAAATGTGCGCATTTATTTTACTAAATGATTCAATATTAAATTCTTAATGATAGCAAAAAAATATTTTTAAAAGAAATTCAATTCCGATTCCCACAAATAGTAAAGACTCTCATTAAGTTTATTTTCACTCAGCGCCAGTTTTATTTTCATTCGATGAACGTTTAAAGCATGAAAATTAAATTTTTAAGCTCACTTAAAAAGCTTTCTTCTTGATATTTGCTTTGGCGATAGCAATTCAAAGTTAGCTTTCAACCGTTGGCTGTTAATTTTAATTTTATGCTAATGAAATTTTTTTTCATACTTTTGCATGCTCTTTGCAGCTTATGGAAAATAAAATAAATTCTTAAATTGTTAATTCATTTGATTCTAAAAATATTTTTACCTTCTTTCATTTACAGGGTTATTATGCTGGGTTCTTATTGATATTCTATGAATCAATTATGCGTGGCAATGCTGCAGAGTTGAGAAGTATAAATTTAAATTTGGAAGAAGGTTTGAAAACTTCTCCTCAAAACATCTAAACTACACATCGAAAATCTCCTCCGAGTGCATCCCTGCTCCCATTTAATATTCAACCCAAAGCATCCGCAAAGGTTCATTTAATCACATCTGATAAGAAAATAGAAGATGGATAAAATCAACAACATTTTTTCTCAGAAGGACTTTATCATTAAATCCTTGAATAAACTAGCATTGACCTCTTGATTTATTTCTTGTATTTTTATTAAAGACAAAAGTTATTTCTCAATGAGAATTTTACTAAGAACTTGTTCTTGACTTCTTTTAAAATTGTTCTATTTGAAAATATTTCCTACAATGAATTTGCTGCTAGCGATTCTTAAAAAATATTAAAATAATTTCTTTGTGATAAATGTCAAAGAATTGTTAAGAAAAATAGGTCAAAGTGTATCGGAAGTTTGCAAAAACATTCTTTGTTTGTAGAAAAAGAGTTTTATTTCAAATAAGAATCAAAAGTTTTAAAATTGAAAGCAACATCAGAATTATGAAGTTAAATTCATTGGATTGTTCGGATCGCTATTGGTCAATAATGTGTCTTTGACTAATGTGTTGTTGATATTTAGCAGAATTGAAATGATTTTGAACTCTTCATTTAAATTGATCTTCTAATATATAATTTAGTTGATTTAAACTCTAGTTCAACTCATTCTTTTCAATTTTATTTTGAGAGAAACTGAATTTGATTAGAGCTCATTATAACATCAAACAAAAAAAACATCACATTGCAGCTGAATTGAAATTTGAATATTCAAAATTACCATCATAATATAATTTATGACAACCATAAACTAAAGAGCTATTACCTCAAACTACATCCTTATCTAGAAATTATGCAAACATCAATTGAGCTAGCAAAGAACTACTAAACTGAATAATAATGTCATAAACCTAAGTAATTTTGTTAAAAAAGTTGAAGCTTCCTTCATATTTTCACAAAGCGCAATAACCTGTTCTTAGTAAGTACAAATATTTTTCATCTCAGTTCAAAAACACTGTCGCAAATTCATCATCGTAAATGATGAAGAAATTTTTTAAGTTTCGCTATTTTGTCAGCTGTTATGACAATGAATTAATTACGTGATAAGATTGCATTTTGTTTCTTTATACTTCTTTTATTTAATTTTACCATAGGTTTTGCATTTTAAAGTTTTTTTTTGTATCGCAAAATAAAAATCAATTTCAAAAGGATCACAAAGACACTAATTATGAATGAGCAATAAAAAAATCTTGAAGTAAATTTGGTCGAATATAATTAGTACTTCTCTTCTTACACCTTAACTTCACAGCTTCAAGATAAAAACTAATCAAAAAGTATAAAATAAAAATTTCTTCACACTTCGATTCCATAAAGATATAACAAAATTTGCACTTCAATGAATTGATTCAATGTAGTAATCTCTATTATTTCCAGCAAATACATACCTTTCTTGGCTTAACACAGAAATTTCAATAAGCAACAAATTGGAAAAAAGCCAAAAATCAATAAGCGTATCGAGAAAGTTTCTATATGCAAGTCTCTTTTGTTTTTTTAAAAATTGATAATACTCTACATACTTAGTGGTTTATTGAATCTTTATTAC